ATGAAGGGTCTAGGCCCGAAACGTCAGCCTCTCTGCTCCTATGATGCTGCTTGGCCTGCTGTGTTCATCCAGCCCTGCACCTTGTTGTCCCTTAATAATTTGTTATTGATTGCACTTTTTTATAACATGTGCCAAGAATGAAGGAGTTGATCTGCTTGTATGATATCAAACAAGAAAGGGGCATGAGATTCTGGCCTTTTTTCATAATATTGCCATGACTGCAACATTGCATGTTAATGACTTGCATTGTGGACCAATCTATGGTCCACCTGCTGGCTTCTTGTAGACCACTCATGATGTATGGACCACACTTTGAGACCCACAGCCCTAAGCTGAATTTGACTTCACAAATGGTTGTGGATCTCTGGTATGAATTTTTGTATGACTTTAGAACACTTTAGAAGATCTGATTTTAACTGATCAGAAACATTTTCAGTGCCCATAAGCTGAACATAAATCAAAGTCTGGAATTTGCCAAAGCCAACAATAAATGACATAGATGACTGTGTGGAAGGTTTAATTAGGAAGTTTGTGAATGACAAAGATTGGTCAAGTGGTTAATAGCGAGGTTGAGTGTTTTAGGCTACAAGAAGACAGAAACAAAATGGTTAAATGGGCAGATCAGTGGCAGGTGGAATTTAACCCTGAAAACGTGTGAGGTTATACACTTTGGATGGAGTAATTTGATAGAGAAGTATTCAATGAATGGCATGACACTAGGAATTTCAGTGGAACAGAGGGACCTTGGAGTGTTTGTCTTTCGATCTCTCAAGGCAGAGGGGCATATTAGTAGGCTGGTGAAAATGGCATATGGGACACTTGACTTTATCAACTGAGGCATAGATTACAAAAGTAAAGAAGTCATGATGGAATTATATAGAGCTTAGTTGAGACCACAGCTAGAGTACTGTGTGCCGTTCTGGTCACCACATTACAGAAAGAATGTAATTGCACTGCAGGGGATGCAAAGGAGATTCACCAGGTTGCTGCCTGGAATGGAAAATTTAAGTTATGAGGAAAGATTGGATTGGCTTGGCTTGTTTTCTTTAGAGCAGAGAAGACTAAGGGGCACCTCTGATTGAGGTGTACAAAATCATGAGGGGCATGGGTAGAGTGGATAAGAAGCAGCTGTTCACCTTATTTCAAGGGTCAGTCATGAGGGGACATGGGTTCAAGGTGAGGGCCAGGAGGTTTAGGGAGGTTTAGAAGAAAAGCTTTTGTACCCAGAAGTACTGATGGTCTGGAATGCACTGCCTGGGAAGGTGGTAAAGGTGCATTGCCCCACATCTTTAAGATAATAGCTGGATGAGCCCTTGGGAAATTGTAACATTTAAGGCTGTGGGCCAAGTACTGAAATATGGGATCAGGTAGAAGGTCAGGTATTTCTCACATGTAGATGCAGACTAAGTGGGCACAAGGGTCTCTTCTGCACTGTACCATTCCATGATTAGAAAGTTGTAACTTGGCTTAAAAAAAAATAGTTTTCTTGCCAGCTGTTGTAAATGCAACAGGCCATGTATGGTTTAAATATCCAGACTGTATTCCATTTCAACATTGAACAAATTGACCCAAATGAAATTCATTTAGTTCATCTTTGGATTGATTATCATGTTGACACTCGATCAAGCTTTTATATTATCTAACGACTCAGCTGTACCTCAGTTTTGTTTTTTCTCATAAATTTTCAAAAATTGATGTTGTTTCGGCAATAAAGAGCCCTTAAAAAATTCAATGCACTTTTGTTTTAAAATGAAGAAACCCATAGGACAGGAGAATGATGCAAGTACTTTTCCAACAAAACATTAGTTTTACGGCTGGTGTCCTGTCACCAAGTCACCCTTTATTTACCAGCGCACTCGGAGTGAGTCTACCTCCGTCAGTTATAGCCAAGCAGGTTGATTTAACCGAGTGTCTCCTTTGCTGTAGTCACAGCAATTCCCTGCCTATCAAGCATCTGCGATTTGCCTTGCGATGCCAATTATTCCAAAGCGATCGAACATCTTGCTTAGTTCCAAACGCCTCATTCTGGTCTCCAGAAAGAATCAGGCAAGAGCCAGTACAGTGAAGATTTACGAACTGATTTAATATCAAACAAACCCCTCAATATTAAAACTCATATTACCAACTCCGACCCTTAATTATCTATCTAAAACATATTCTGCATCGGTCAGTTCCTGGAAAAGTTACCATTTGAGCCCGTTCAGTGATCCCTGAGGTCAGAATGAGGAGTAAAAATATTCAATGTTTGTAAACAAAAGAAATCAACGCGGGAATGTAACTTGAAACTGCCTACAGAGGGGTTTGTTCGGTTTTAAAAACGCAGCCGAGAATGATCCTGCGGGTAAAATGAGCAGGGAGCCTCGGCGAATTAAATCAAATAAACAGTGCCGGGGGCGCAAGTGCTTTTATTTCGCTGCAGATTGAGAGAGGTGGAGAAGGGGGTTACTACCAGAATGAAAGGAGTCTGTGAAAACAGTGCTCGCTTCCGTTTACGAACGGCAGATTTGTCAAGTGATGTGAATAAAGTGCGGACAAGTTCCTATTCTGAATGCAAAACGTTTCATTGCCGAGAAACATAATGCGGAGGGTTAGGGAAGCGGGGGAGGGGGGTGGTGAGGTAGGAGTTTGACAGTGATCGGAAGCAAATACAATCTGCTCCTACAGGCAAATGTAAGAGGAAAGCTTTGCACGTACTCATATGGGCACACTGAACAGACACTGACCAAGCAGCCACACATACGCTGAAACAGTCACATTCATCATCTGGTACTCACGCTCTCACATCCAAGTTCCTCCCCTCGCTAGCGCGTCCGACCCTGTACAGTGTATGAGAAAGAAAAAGTTTATCCAAACTCAGCAACAGCCCCATCAGCAGAGCCAAAGATCTTTCACTACTGACAAATATCATCTCACCGCGACTGTCCCTAACCCTGTTCAAAAGTCATTTTGTCTCTAACCCCCAGCCCCCACCCCACCCCTAAAAAATGTGAAATGAGAAAAGCCAGCTGCACTTCCCGGTCGATCACTCACATAAGAAAATCTTCAAGGGGAAAAAAGTATCTGTGAGCCCGAAATTTTATAGATGTTCTGTCCCAGAAACGGTGTTGGCAATCGTGACAGATCAGAGAGGAAAATGTTTTCCGAAACTTGTGTGAACTTATTGAGGACTGTCTTCATGTTGTCGCTGATATCTCTAGGATGCACGTATTCCTACTTTTCCATATCAGAGCAAGATGAATCGTACAGGTTTGTCCGTTTATATTTTAGTTTTCACCTTTCTTTTATCCCCATCCCCATTCTGCAACTGTTTAAATTTGCCCTCTTCACTGTTGTAAATAAGAATCGTGGTTGTTCAATCGTGTCGTTCATTCTAGTTAAAGGCTAAAGTGGAAACGCACCCAAAAACAGGGGATCAGTTGTAATTCGGACTTTACCGAACAGCGCTTTGAATTCATTGGGAACAAGAAGCAGATTTAATTTATGAATTCTTCCATTGATACCTGAAGACCTTTTGTTTGATCTTCAAGCAGAGAGAACTGCCCGGAAAACAAAATCATTACAACCGAGTACCCATGTTTGAAAGCTACTGGAGAAGTTGCGACCTGCATCAGGTAAGCGTGTTCAAATCTCACCATCACAAATCCTTTACCCACTGCCTGACAATTAAAGTCGTCGCTTCATCCCTATCTATTTACTGCTTCTACCAGGTTTATTTCTCTCTGAGTTATACTCTCTATAGAATTGGTCATTTGGCAAAGTTGCAATTATACAGGTAAAAGATCATTCCCATAAATTAACAGCTTCCATTGGATATCACATTCTTTTATCCTTACATTTTCATTGGCAGATTGTTCATTATTGAGAGCTTGTTTAGTTTAAAGATGAATTTCACCTCTCACATGTAAATTTGTTTTTGAACTCCTGCTGTCTGACGATAACTTATCAGGACAGATCCCAGTTTGAGACCAGGATCTACAACAAAGCAAGGTCTACTGAATCAAGTTATGCTGTTCTGGATTCCATTCCATTCAGGGGTTGGATGTGGATCTTGCCCAAGCAATGAAACTGGGGTTGGTGTGTATGAGACTCATTAAAGCTTGCTATAATTATACAAGTTTTGCATCTGTGTAATGCCAAAACCACTTTGTATCAATGCAAAATGTGTACCACAGTTGGTTTAAAGAACTTCATTTGGAGTGGGTGTATTCAGCACCATTTGGCATGTGAATCCAATTGGAACTTTAACATTAATTTGGGTAGAAAAAGAGACCCTTACACTGCCAACACATAGCTGGTTTTAGAGCAAGGTGATAATGGAAAGCATCTGCTCAGCAAGGATAGTCAGCTCTCCTTTATATAGAATGGAAATCAATATGCAGTTGCCAGCATTCACATCTTATGTACATTAGGTAACACAGCCAGATTTGTCTAAGTTTTCTCACAAAGCATATTGAATTTCAGTGAACTTTACTGTTCTGGCACAGTACAGCTGAACTCAACTGAATTTTAGATTATTTGTCAATAACTGTTTTTTTTTAAAAAAAATCAATGTTCAGGAACCTGTACCAATGAAAGCTTTCCGAAAGACTTTAAAATTCATCAAAAGGTCTTTGTGCACCCCACCCCCCTGCCCATCCCTCCCCTGTTGAATTAACAGGTTCTTTGTGGAATTGGTCAAGATTCTGAAGCTTTGTGTTAAATGTATATCTTATGTCTACTGTTGTACTTTTTCAAGACTGCAATGTGATTTTGCTGACGTTGTAGAAATTGACAGATGTTTATAGTCACTGCAAGACTTCTGTCACTGACAACACACATCAATCAAAGTTAGCTCAGGCATGCTGCTAACCAGTCTTTCAAATTCGGCAGCCTTCTAAGTCCTTAGAAATGTCACTGACACTTGGAAATACATTTGTGGGCCTGTGCTTGCCCCACTCAAACAAGTAAATGGGAAATATATAACTATGACTATTAGTGCACATTCCATCTATTAAATATGCATCTACGTAAAGCAACATCACAAGTTTCAGATTAAGAGGATAAAAGAATATTAGTCACTTTAAAATGGATATGGATTGCTTTTTAGCTTGTCAGCACTTTTGTATTATCACTTGAACATACTAAATGTATTTGGAATACAATGTGGAAAAATATGAACTTGTTCACTTTGATAAGAAAAATAGAAATGGAGAAAGATTGCAGAACCAGTTGCTACAGAGGGCTCTGGATGTCCTGGTACATGAATCACAAAACATTGATATGTGTGTACAGCAAATGATTAGAAAGGCAAACAGAACGTTGGTGTCTATTTGCAAGGGGAATGAAATATTACAGTCAAAATGTTTTGCTGCAGCGGTATGGAACATTTGTTTGACCGATACTGTCTAGAGTTAGTCCCTTTATTTAGAAAATAAAGGTGTACTTTACTTCCATTAGAAGCAGTTCAGAGAGAGTTCATTTAACTCATTCCTGGAATGAAGGGCTTACCATTTTTTCTTTAAAAAAACGTACAATGATTTAAGTGATATCCATTGGAGTTTAGAAGAATGAGAAGTGGTGTTCTTGAAACATATAAGATTATGAGGAGACTAGATAGGTTGGATACCAGGATGATGTTTTCTCTTGAGGGGGTGATGACAACTAAGGGACATGGTTCAAGAGTAAGAGATCTCCTTTCATGATGAGGCTAAGGAGATTCTTTTTGCTCTCTCTGACACATGGTAGGAAAGTTACTGGAGAACATCGCACATGGAAGCAGGCCATTTGGCCTATTGAGTCCACACGGACCCTCTGAAGAGCATCCCACCCAGCCCCACCCCCTATCCCTGCATTTCCTGTAGCTAATCCACCTGGCTTTCTCATCCCTGCTCACTATGGGCAATTTAGCACGTCCAATCCTCCTAACCTGTACACCTGTGGAGCCCCAGGCAGACACAGGGAGAATGTGCAAATTACACACAGACAGTCACCCAAGGCTGGAATTGGACTGGGGTCCGTGGCATTGTGAGGTAGCAGTCCTAACCAGTGAGCCACCATGCCACCCAAAGCAATGGAAAGTATTAATCTCTATTTAGAGAGAAAAGGTTTGATCAGAGACAGAATGGTTTTGTCAGAGGAAAGCCACACCTAATAAATCTGGTAGAACTTTTTAAGGAGGTGATCAAGTGCTTGGATGAGAGTGGGGCAGTTGATGTAGTTAATATGTGTTTCAACAAAGCCTTTGATAAGTTCCATTGGGAGCCTGATAAAGAAAGTAAAACCTCATGGATCCAGGGTAACTTGGCATGTTGGATCCAAAATTGGTTCAGTGACAGGAGATAGAGGGTGCTGGTAAAAGACAAGTTGCATGACTGGAGCCCTGTGTACAGTGGCATACCACAGGGATCAATGCTGGATCCGTATTGTTTGTGATATTCATAAATGATGTCAATGAGAATGATAAATGAGTTTGTAGATGACTCACAGTGGCCTGAGGGTTGACAATGAGGAGGAAGTATTAGATTACAGCAAGATATAAATAGATTGGTCAGATGGGCAGATCAGTGGCAGATGGAATTTAACCCGATAAATTGATGCACTTTGGAAGAAAAAGGAAGTACTCAGTAGAATGGCAATAGAAAGGTCAGAGGAATAGAGGGATCTTGGGGTGCTTGTCCACAGATTCCTGAAGGTAGAGATGGCCTAGTCGCATTATCACTAGGCTATTAATCCAGAACTCAGCTAATGTTCTGGGGATCCGGGTTTGAATCCTGCCATGGCAGGTGGTGGAATTTGAATTCAATTTTTAAAAAATTTGGAATTAAGAATCTACTGATGATCATTGTCAGAAAACTCATCTGATTCAGGGAAGGAAATCTGCCATCCTCACCTGGTCTGGCCTACATATGACTCCAGACTCACAACAATGTGATTGACTCTCAATTGCCCTCTGTAATGGTGTATCAAACCATTCAGTTGTACCAATCGTGATAAAGTCTTAAAGAAATGAAACTGGATGGATCACCTGGCATTGAGCTAGGTACCGGAAAAGACAATGGCAGAAACAACCCTGTTGACCCTACAAAGTCCTCCTCACTAACATCTGGGAGCTCGTGCCAAAACTGGGAGAGCTGTCTCACAGACTAATTAAGCAACAGCCTGACATAGTCATACTTGTTGAATCATACCTTACAGACAATGTCCCAGACACCACCATCACCATCACCATCCCCAGGTATGTCCTGTCTCACTGGCAGGATAGACCCAGCACAGTGGTATACAGTCGTGAGGGAGTTGCCCTGGAGGTCCTCAACATTCATTCAGGATCCTATGAAGTATAATGGCTTCAGGTTAAACATTGGCAAGGAAACCTCCTGCTGATTGCCATGCACTGTCCATCCCCAGGTTAATGAATCCGAACTCCTCCATATTGAACAACACTTCGAGGAAACACTGAGGATGGCAAGGGCACAAAACATACTCTGGGTGGGACATTTCAATGTCCACTACCAAGAATGGCTCAGCAGCCGTACTACTGATTGAGCTGGTTGTGTCCTAAAGGACATAACTGCTAGACTGGGTCTGTAGCAGGTGGTGAGGGAACAAACAAGAGCGAAAAAATATATTTGATCTCATCCTTACCATTCTGCCACCTGCAGTTGCATCTGTCCATCACAGCATTTGTAAGAATGACCATTGCACAGTCCTTGTGAAGATGAAATTCCATCTTCGTATTGAGAATAACCTCCATTGTATTGTGTGGCACATCATCCTGCTAAATGGGACAGACTTCAAACAGATGTAGCAAACTCAAGCATCCATGAGGCGCTGTGGGCCATGAACAGCAGCAGAATTATACTCCAGCACAATCTGCAACCTCATGACCCAGCATATCCCCCATTCTAGACTGGGGATCAACTGTGATTCAATGGAGAGTGCAGGAGGGCATGCCAGGAGCAGCACCAGGTATACCTGGTGAAGCTATCAAAAGGATTACCACTGTGCGAAACAGCATAAGCAGCAAGTGATAGATACAGCTAAGCGATTCCACAATCTCCAGATCAAATCTAAGCTCTGCAGTCCTGCCACATCCAGTCATAAATGGTGGTGGATGATTAAATTAAACTACTCACTGGAGGAGGAAGCTCCACAAATATCCCCATCCTCAACGATGGAAGGGCCCAGAACATCAGTGCAGAAGGTAAGTCTGAAGCATTTGCAGCAATCTTCAGCCAGAAGTAACTATGAAGTAACAGGTCCTAACAACATTCTGGCAATCATACTGAAGACTTATGTTCCAGAACTTGCAGTTCCCCTAGCTAAGCTCTTCTAGTACAGTTACAACACTGGCATCTACCCAAAAATGTGGAAAATTGCACCCACATATCCTGTACATAAAAAGCAGGACAAATCCAACAGAGGCAATTACAACCCCATCAGTATACTCTCGATCATCAGTAAAGTGATGGAAGGTGTCACCAACAGAGCTATCAAACAGCACCTGCTCAGCAATAACCTGCTCAGTGACGCCTAGTTTGGGTTCCACTAGGGCCACTCAGCTTCAGACCTTTTTACAGCCTTGGTTCAAACGTGGACAGAAGAGCTGAATTCCAGAGGTGAGGTGAGAATGACA